CTAAAAGCAACCACATAAATGGAACCTCATCTAATTTGATAGCAGCAGCAACCTTGAACTTCCTAAAATGATTTAATTAAGTTTCTGGTTTCAAGGAAAAGAGGAAACAAAACAACTAACTACAACAGATGATGAACACCAAAATCAGTGAGTACTCAGGCCACTACAACCAGCTTCTGATATTCTTTGCCTGAGATAGTTGCTTCCAGCATCGTCACCCCTAGTTGCTTCCATGATAACTAGGACTGTTCTTTACCTTGACTTTGTCCTATTTCTTTGGCACTAGTCTGTGGTATAAATAACCATGACAATTTGACTTTAATTAGGTGAAGAAGGGCAACAACAGCAACTTGTCTTCCACAGATATTATAACATGTGGACGAAGTACAACCGTGGGATGATCGGTCTGATGCTGACTCAAAGAATCATAAAAAAGGGTGTCATGAATAAATAGCAGGGGCTCCTCGAACCAACTAAAACAAGTCTCTCACTGCTTAAACCAATTTGGTGTGCAACACCATTTGCTTTTCTAGGAATAAATATAACAACAGAACCAGGAACTTGTCGCTGGAGATGCTGAATGTCTTCAATAACGGAGCAGTCTTGCCCCCCTCTCTTTACTGCAGCAACAACGACAAGTGGAGCTTTGATATATATTTTGTACAGTGGTTCTGATTAAGAAGGAAAACGTGACTGCAGATAATGTGGTTCTCAATAAAAACGCGTCCATGCTCTGCAACCTACTACTGAACATGCGGTAGAGGTCGCATACAGCCAAGCAGTAGCAGTTGTTGAGTATTTTCTTACCGTTTATCTTGCCTTGCTTTTTTATACCCTCCATCATGGCCTTCCACTGAAGCTCAGCCACTTGCCCGAAATTCCAATGATTCACATATCTTACGATTTGATTTGGAAGCAAAGCATCCGGTGCAATCTTGGACTTGCCGGCTTTCACCTCCTCCAAATACTTCTCAACCACAGAGTCTTTTGATTCGTAGGCCTCATACAGCTCGTCCACCTTCGTTTCTCAGGCGATCTAGGACAGAGTACTTCAAACTGCAGAATATTCTGATTCAGATAATTACTCTTTGGGTTTCTTTAATCTTCACTCCTCAGCTGAAACCAGAAGCAATTTGAGCAATTTGAGCCTTCAGATGGATCGGTAGTAGCAATTTGAGCCATGGACACATGAAACCAGAAGCAGCTGAGAAAGCATAGACTGCAAAAGAAGCCAAAGGACGCTGAAAGAGGCCATTGTTGTTTCAGACTCTCAGTCAATCGCAGCTTTCGAAAAATCGGAGCTTGAGTTGATAGAGAAGCGAAATGGCTTGACTGCGAGTGCAAGTTCCATACTTCGTGTTCGTGGGGAATATATTTACAGAGTATAGCCGATCGGCTATACTTTTAAAATATTCGAATGTACTTTTGAAAAGCTACTGCAAAATTCGTAAACAAGTGAAGCTACTCAATTACACTAAGCTCATGAACGACACTGACAAATCACTATAGAGCTAACAAGTCACAAGCAAAACCTCTCAAACCAAACAAAAATCCAATCTTTTTCTCAAAATAACAGAGCTAAGGAGAATGAAGAAGCAAATAATGCAGGGGCTCATAATCATGATTAACTACAGAAACTAAGAAAGAACAAACAGAAACTGAGAAAGCCCTTAGCATTGCACCGAATCCTTGTAAACACGCATATGATAAAATTTATGGATTTCCAAAGGCATTACCTTATCATAGTCCTTGTTCATTGCTTCCCAAATCATTCTTTTGAACAGTGCCGCCTGCTTGCTGTTAAGGTACCCAACAACCTACAAACCACAAGCATCATGCCTTCCATGTCAAAATTCCAAAAATAAAAAATTGAAGCAACAATCATATACAAATCCAAATCAAAGACAGCACTTTACAGATAAGTCTAGACCAAGCACTATATACCAAGTGGCTATGGAGAAAACTGATGGATCATGGGCAGGGGGTAACTTTCAGTTTCAGGATCACTGCTATTGTCTTTCATTAATTTTTACCCTTTATTTTCAAACATAGAAAATGTGGTTGATTGTCATGAACCAAGAACAAAACTTTTCACAATAACCATGAAAGGATATTCCAAGAACATTGATATGTCGATTAAATTCAAATCATCATTGAGGAATTTGAGCATCTACCTTCTATTCATCAACTTGAGAAAAATGGGCAACCACTGAAAAGCAAGAGCAGTGTTCGAAAAATCGGCCTAGGCGGGTGGCTAGGTGGCTAGGCGGTCGCTAGGCGGGCTCGAGGCGACTAGGCTGTCGCTAGGAAGGCGTGAGGCAGCTAGGTGGTTGCTAGGCGGGAGCGAGGCGGCTAGGCGGTCGCTAGGTAGGCGGGAGGATGCTAGGCGGTCGCTAGGAGGCTAGGCGGTAGCTAGGCGGGTTGGGTCTTTTTTCGTTGCCGAACCCGGAGGACGAAGCAGCTGAAACCAAAGAAAACAAATCGAAGCTTGAGTTGATAGAGAAGCGAAATGGCTTGACTGCGAGTGCAAGTTCCGTACTTCGTGTTCGTCTGGAATATATTTTCAGAGTATAGCCGTTCGGCTATACCTTTAAAATATTCGAACGAACTTTTGAAAACCTACTGCAAAATTCGTAAACAAGAGAAGCTACCCAATTACACTAAGCTCATGAACGACACTGACAAGTCACAAGTCAAAACCTCTCAAACCAAACAAAAATCCAATCTTTTTCTCAAAATAACATTGGTGATGGTTTCAAAATGTGACCTTTTCCCCCAAATCTATCCAAGTCCTTAACAATCTTAATCCCCACAGAATTAGCCGTTGATTGATGGACTTGCAAATGGACTCCAAGGGCAAGTACTGGCAATACTCGGAAACCATCCAAGAGAGCTTTAAGCAAGGGCGGAACCAGGAATTTTTCAACGGGTGGGCTAGCTAAAGTTATTAGCTTAAAATTTAATGATTATTTTTTTTGGTACTTACAATTTCTATAGTCTTTGTAGAAATAAAAGTAAACATTAAATCATATAAACCACACTAGTTCATAGCTCCATAAACTAATTTTCAATAAGTTTTAACACAAACCAAATAGGGTTTAACACCATAGTGGATTGAACGTATAAGGCTTTTTACCTAGATTGACCTTAGTTCCTTCATGCATTCATATCATACATGAAAAAATGTTTTATGTAAAAATATTGACTAAGTATGAAAAATGGGTTTTCGGAATAATCATTTTCTGAAGATAATTTTTGGCGGCTTTTTTTCCTCAGACATCAAATAAGAAAACTTGATTTTATGGGATTTTAGTATGAAGTATATATTGACTTAATGAGCCATCATTTTTAGCCTAAATCGTATTTTGTACTAAAACCGTTTTTTCATATTTTGATTTGGTGGGAATTTGATTTTCTAGTATTTTTATTTGAATCCAAATGGGGGGGTACTTCCTTATTTACATTGTAAACTTAAGTAAATGGAGTAATATAAAAATAAATAAAAGTAAAATGTCTTTAATAAAAATAAATAAAAGTAAAATGACAAAGACATTTACTTAAATGTTGAAAGTGGAAATAAGGTAATCTGTACACCGCCACTGACTGGGCTAATATTGAAAATAAGTTAAATATATAAGTTATATTTTTTTTTCCTTAAAAAACCACACTGGGCTACAGCCCACTGTAGCCCTTAGTGTGGTTCCGCCCTTGGCTTTAAGGATAAGAAAGTCTCATCCGTTCCTACCTTTTCTTTTGTGCATAAGTGAGATTAGACCTAGAAAGATACTTGGAATTTGGTAGCATTAGGCTTAATAAGATCTAAAAGTAGCTTCCGCCTCTTTGAATGTTTGATTCATGCATGTTGTAGCTTAAAATCCATGAATTTAAATTTAAATGCATGTTTCCTTCAGAGGCTGAGTTCTGGAGTCTCCTTAGAGGTTTGCAAATGGCTTGGGCTAAGGGTATTAGGACCCTTGATGTTGAACGTGACTCTTTTATATGTTGTTTCTCTGATGGCTAGGCTTCTGGAGAAATGAGGAAACAAGTATGGTGTCAGTGAAGTTCTTGGATAAAGAGGGTGAAATGTCAATCACCATGGATGGGCTACCAGAGAAGTTCTTTGAGCCCTTTATCATGAAAGGCATTCGAGTCGATCTCCCTTGAACCTGGTTGTATTGTTTGCTCCTTCAAAGTACCCCCTCGTTTGCTGAATGGAGGCAATTTTATGCATGGTGGAGCCATAGCAACCCTTGTGGATTTGATAGGGTCAGCTGCAATCCTCACCGTCGGAACTCCCAGCTTTGGAGATTCAGTGGAGATCAACGTTTCATACTTGGATTCTGCTTACCCTAGTGAGGAAGTTGAGGTTGAGGCCAAGGCTTTACGTGTTGGGAAGGTTGTTGGTGTTGCCAGTGTTGAGTTAAGGAAGAAGAAGACAGGCAAAATTATAGCTCAGGGCCGTCGTACCAAGTATCTTGCTCTCGCTAGCAAACTCTGAACAACTTGGAAGCTGGAACCAAGACCCAAGACACAATTCAGTCTATGTTCTATGTAAAGATTTTTCAACATTGAATAAAATTTCTTTTAACTGAATTATATAAATTCACAGTTTGAGATGCAAATCAATGATCAATTGAAATTTTCCTCAGACTTGTATAGAATATTGAGAAGCCTTTTGGCATTGTCAGTGTTGAATTTAGGAAGAAGAAAACAGGGGAAACATTGTTGTCAAACTGGTGCTTCTCCCTACACTCAATAAACTGTGAACAACTTTAAACCAACAATTCAGTGTTCCAATTTACAAATTTTGCTCATGGTTATAGTTCAAGGAGTTTCACATGCAAACAATGCTCAATAGCATCTCTCCTCAGACTGATTCCAATTTGAAAAAGTTGTTAAAAACCAGAAGATTCAATTGCTTAACCTTTAGATCGTAACAAGATACAACTGGTTCATGAAAAAATAATCTAAATCAAGAAAAAAAAAGTTGATTATTTAAGTCATTCTTCAAAATCGCATTCCTCATCATAATTGCATTCATCATCGTAATTGTATCCATTATATTTGTCATTTGCAACATATGAATCGTCATCTTGGCCTTGTCTGGCTTCAGCCTCTTTACTGTAACCATTACTTTCATGCTCAAACTCATCATCACGATTGTTCTTCTCATTTGACAGTTGCATATCACCAAGACTGCCACAATTAGACTTTGTGCCTTCCTCAAATGCAGGTGCATAACCCTGATTTCACACATGAAGAAAAAGCAAAATTGAATAAAGCAAAATTGATTCTAAAATAAGACATATAAAATATGCTTACAAGCTCTTCATTTAATTTATCCAAAGCTTCAGAGTTGATTTTTGACAATCAACATTGCAGGAAAATTTAAGCACCAAAATTCCCATAAACTAGTTTATTATTAACTTACATTCTTAGTATCCGTCACAGTAGAAACTTTGACAGCCTTTTTTGGCTTTTTAGCAGGATCAGTTTTTTTGGCCATTTTGACTCGTTTTCTACTCTTTCCCTGCCAATTTTATAGTTGCATATAGAGGTCAATACATAAGACTCAATGCTGGCAGTAAAACATACACAAATAGTCGAAAGATCAAAAAATAAGTCAAATGCAAATAAGATTGAAGTGAAAACTTTCAACATAGTTATGCAGTGTGTGACTCAAATAACAGCTCAGAACTAGGCAAGAACTCTAAGCCGGATGAGACTTCCAAGCCTGTGCTTCAGATCACAATGCACATATGACATGCAGCAAACATAAACTCAAATACAAGAAACGAGGTCAGTTTTTAAAGTGAAGAATTCCTGCACAATCACATAGCTAAGGAGAATGAAGAGGCAAATAATGCAGGGGCTGATAATCATGATTAACTACATAACCTCAATGATTTTCAATCTAAAGACTCAAAAGCCAAAAATATAGACAACAAATAAAAAGAAACCATGGAACAAACAGAAACTAAGAAAGCCCCAAGCATTGCACCGATTCCTTGTGAACACATATGATAAAATTTATGGATTTCCAAAGGCATTACCTTATCATAGTCCTTGTTCATTGCTTCCCAAATCATTCTTTTGAACAGTGCCGCCTGCTTGCTGTTAAGGTACCCAACAACCTCCAAACCACAAGCATCATGCCTTCCATGTCAAAATTCCAAAAATAAAAAATTGAAGCAACAATCATATACAAATCCAAATCAAAGACAGCACTTTACAGATAAGTCTAGACCAAGTACTATATACCAAGTGGCTATGATGGAAGTGATCTTGAAGAAAGCTGATGGATCATGGGCAAGGGGTAACTTTCAGTTTCAGGATCATTGCTATTGTCTTTCATTAATTTTTACCCTTTATTTTCAAACATAGAAAATGTGGTTGATTGTCATGAACCAAGAACAAAACTTTTCACAATAACCACGAAAGGATATTCCAAGAGCATTGATATGTTGATTGAATTCAAATCATCATTGAGGAATTTGAGCATCTACCTTCTATTCATCAACTTGAGAAAAATGGGCGACCACGGAAAAGCAAGAGCAGTGTTCGAAAAATCGGCCTAGGCAGGCGGCTAGGTGGCTAGGCGGTCGCTAGGCGGGCCCGAGGCGGCTAGGCCGTCACTAGGAAGGCGCGAGGCAGCTAGGCGGTTGCTGGGCGGGAGCGAGGCGGCTAGGCGGTTGCTAGGCAGGCGGGAGGATGCTAGGCAGTCGCTAGGCGGCTAGGCGGTAGCTAGGTGGTCGCTAGGCGGGCGGCTAGGCGGGTTGGGTCTTTTTTCGTTGCTGAACCTGGAGGACGAAGAAGCCGAAACCAAAGAAAACAAATCGAAGCTTGAGTTGATAGAGAAGCGAAATGGCTTGACTGCGAGTGCAAGTTCCGTACTTCGTGTTCGGCGGAATATATTTACAGAGTATAGCCGCCCGGCTATACGTTTAAAATATTCGAATGTACTTTTGAAAAGCACTGCAAAATTTGTAAAGAAGAGAAGCTACCCAATTACACTAAGCTCGTGAACGACATTGACAAAATCACTATAGAGCTAACAAGTCACAAGCAAAACCTCTCAAACCAAACAAAAATCCAATCTTTTTCTCAAAATAATGATGATGGTTTCAAAATGTGACCTTTTCCCCCATATCAATCAAAGTCCTTAACAATCTTAATCCCCATAGAATTAGCCGTAGATTGATGGACTTGCAAATGGACTCCAAGGGCAAGTACTGGCAGTATGGGTCAGATTGCTTCACTTTGGCGATCTCATACAAGTGCCTCACAAACAGCTTAAAAGCGACCATGTCTTTGAGTCGACTGCTGCCGGAGTCGACGCCGGTGGCCTTTTTCAAGTACCAGCTGACAGACGGTGACTTTACCGTGAAGTTGTAGGTGTTGTCACAGAGTATAGCCGCGCGGCTATAGGCTATACTCTTTTCACCAAACCACGTGTGCAAGAACCTACAAGTTGGAACCTGCAAAAAAAGTAGAGAAAAAAAAAAACCTCCACCTTAACCCCCAAGTGTACGATGCTTGGCAATAAATATAGTCTTTCAATTTTAGTTTAGTTGCAAACTTGTAAAATTAAAGAAACTACGAGTTTTAATTGGTTGAGTAATAAAACTAATTAAATTGATATCCTAGTCGTAGTAGGAGCCGTACATAACCAACATGGATCATCATTATAAAGGGAAAGGCAATTAATTAAAACAGAACCACGAAACACATGCTGCTGCAATTATAATTAATAGTAGATTGAGCTTAGACCCATAAAATTCATTTTAAATTCCTTTAGTTTTCTATTTAAAATACCCAATTTTTTAAAATAATACCCGATGACTAGGATCCAACTAAGCAAGTTACGTAATATAACTTACAATCTGATTTATTGTATTTTTCAGATTCCAAAACTACCCTTATTTATAAGTTATTGTGTTATGGGGAGGTGTAACTAATGACACACGTTAAAATCTGAATGTGTTATGGGGGGGTGTAACTAATAACTTAATCAAAAGCAGCCCTGGTCTACAGGCTTAACTTATCCGTGGCTTCACACTCGTCAAGCAATGGATTGGTTTGAAAATGCTATAAATCTCCCTCACTAGCATGAACATTTCATCCAACAATTGAGTTTTCAACCTCAAAGTGATATTGTGTGTTTGTGCAGAGTAAAAAAGCAAATTTACTTATCAATATGAACCAATCCCAGAATATCAGCCACCAAGCCGGCCAGGCCAAGGGCCAGGCTGAGGTCAGTCTTGAAGAACCCCCTTTTTTTTAATACAAGCGATAGTCTTGAAAAACCCTTAGCTTTAATCCTATATATATATAGGGTGGTTGATGATTACAATTTTGATGCAGGAGAAGGCTAGTGGCATGATGGACCAGATGAGCAATGCTGCCCAATCTGCCAAGGAATCATGCCAAGGGGTTAGAAATTTGTTTGTTTGTTTTTTTAATTAAGAATTTTTATATTAATTAATATATGCACCACATTTGTTTGTGCATGTTGTTAATAGCTTGTGTGTTTTGCTTTGCAGGCTGGTCAGCAGATGAAGGACAGGGCACAGGGAGCAGCTGATTCTGTCAAAGATGCAGTTGGAGCCAACAAAAATTAAGCTGATCTCATCCCAAACTAGTTTTGGTGTTCCCGTTTTCTGTTTTTGTTTGGTTGATCTTTCTTGACTTGTCCAAATCCATTTAAATATTTTAAAATTCCGATAAGATTTATAAAATAAAATAACATTGTAGGTGTTTACCTTTGAATTTTTTGGACCGTTTAATGGTTATGTATTTACTTTACAAAATTTTTGGATCTTTGGATTAAATGCTATGGGGATATGAAAAAGAAAAAAGGGGCCGGGTGGATTTTTTTAGGTAATTTTTCGGACACTTTAGCAGCTTAGCTAAAGGTCAATGAATCTGGACCTTCCATTTTGAATGGAGATAAAATCTCAGCCCTTCGGGGACCCGCAGAACAGCAGCTGGCGAGCGAGTGACAGCCAAGTCGCGCGTGAAGGGCAAGTGGCTCTTACACAATTTAATTTTCTGAAGCTTAATTTTGCGGGCCTGGGCTTATTTGACATTGGCCCATTGGCCCAACATCTTATTTCCTAGCTAGTCCTAATGGGATTAGGATTATTTTTCCCACTCCCACAAGGAGTTCACCAACAAATATGAAAGGAAACACAGCCCAAGATCAAATACCACCACACGCACAGACAGCAACCAATTCTTGGGCAGAAAGCTTCCCATTTCCCTCGCTCTCTTCTCTTCTATCTCTGGTAGTCGTCGGCAACATGTTGAGTAAGAGGTGCAGGCTTTCGTCGATGCCCGGCAACCGCCATGACCACGAGAGGGTCATGAAAGAGTACCAAGCTATGAAAGAGGAGATCAAGGCCAGGGCACTCAAGAAAGAGTGGGAGTTACTGATAAAGGATTACAACGTTTGCGTTTCTGCTGGTCTTGTCCAACTCCAGTATGCTCTGCAAAAACTCTTCCGCGTTCGGGATGGGATAATTACCACTCTGTCCCCTGCAAGCTTGAATTGTGTTTTTGGGCCGATGGATGACGCCTCAATTGTGCAATTGGTCGAGGGCATTGGAGAAGTTGGCGTTTGATCTACAACTCATAGCCAGGTTTTCATAGGAAGAAAGATGATATTGTAAGACAATTATCATTGTCATTACCTTCATTTTATTCTCTGTTATCACATATACTCTATGAATATATATCTTGTATTCTTCTTTCACAACTTCAAAATTGATTCATCATGTTTGTCCGTTACATCATTAGAACTTGCACAATTCTTTTTATTATTTTTTATTTCGAAAATATGATTGATTTAAAATGAAAGAAATACCATAAGATCACGAAAATCATCGTCTACGACGGTCCATTTGTAATCCGAACTTGAAATCAAGGAATGCCCAATAAATTTGTGAAGTTTTTGTAAATTCATTGTCATAAAATTTTGGAGTTTTTTTAAGGGTAAAACTCTATTTGGTGTCAGTCCTAATAAAAAATCAGCGACAATAATACTGATATTTTACTTGATTGAAAAGTTAATCAAGGGCATATTTTTTGGTCTAATTTTTTATTTTTATTTTTTGTTCTTATAGCTTGGTTCATTTTTCATGTAAATCCTCATTATTTCAAATTTTGAAATTTTATTTATCTAGTTTGTTCTATATTAGCAATCAAGCCTACAATACTAACTTTGTTATACAAAAAATTGACGAAATTCTTCCATTCTAGGTTGATTGCAATTTGCAATGCTTTGGAAAGACAAAAGTATCCTCACATATGGTCGTTACATATTGCTATGTCGAATTTCATTTATTAATTTGACAAAGTTTATGATTTCGACTTGAGAGCAAACCAAATAGAACTACAAGGCTAAATTTTGTAAAAATTAAAATAACATAGACCAAAATAGAAAATAACATAAAATACCCACACAAAATAGAAAGATTAGTAATAGAAAGATTAGCCTTGTTATTTTCTATTTTGTGTGTAATATTGAAAATTTTGTAAATAAAAAAAAAGTGCATTAAACATGAAAAATATGTACGTACGTGTACAATATGAGTATTAAACATGAAAATGTTAAATTCTTTATACGAATAATAATTCTGGAAAAGTAAAAACTCAAAATGAGACAATAGAGACTCAAGTAATGGCCTAATAGCAATAGATAATACTCTAAACTACTCATATTGATAAACAAAAATCGGGGAAAAATAATTTTAAAAAAAGATCACAGTATCTATACCAAGAGTATAGCCTCGCGCCTTTGAAATTTATAAAAAAATAAACCATTTAAAAACCACCGCACTAAAGCCGGACGGCTATACACTTTTTTATAAATAAAATATCCAGAGTATACCTGATGCGGTTTCCTTATTTAACAATTCGATCTTATATCAACAATGACAATTATATGTTTCGGTGTTTTGAATTTTGAATGGGAGAAAAAAAAAAAATTTGAACTCCTTAAAACAGTAGGAATTCTCATATCTTTTGATATAAAAAATTAAAATTAAAAAAAAAAAATCAACAATGAAAATTAAGTTTGGGTTGTAGTTTGTTCACGACTTCGATTTTGAATTTGATTAGGAGATGTTATGAAATCAAAGATTTCGGCAATCCAAGTCTTTCTATGAGAAGTAAAGTTCAAAGGGTGGTTTTCCCTGATAGTTGAACAATGAAATTATAATGATGTCTGAATTGGCTTAAGTTGAAATTTGAATTTCAAATCAAATGATAATGATGTCACGCGCATTGCGGATATCATGGAATATGAACACCCAAATCACTTGGGAGCACACCAAAGACTAAGTTCAATCCAATTTACACATCATTGGTTGGTTGGTTTAAGTCCTTCAATAACATCATGTTTGCAAGGATTCACTCACAACACATTCCAATCAAGCTATATATAGCAACATGATTTACTCCACTCAACGTCTGCATGAAACAAATGAGAGCATGGCATGCACGTGACTTCTTCTCCACTCAACGTCTTCTCCATGCAGACCACACACTACTCACTATTAGTATCATAATTTACTCCATCAATTTCCATGAACGAACGAAGCACATAGAGATTGTCACTATTAGTGGCAACCGCCATGACCACGAGAGGGTCATGAAAGAGTACCAAGCTATGAAAGAGGAGATCAAGGCCAGGGCACTCAAGAAAGAGTGGGAGTTACTGATAAAGGATTACAACCTTTGCGTTTCTGCTGGTCTTGTCCAACTCTAGTATGCTCTGCAAAAACTCTTCCGCGTTAGGGATGGGATAATTACCACGCTGTCCCCTGTGAGCTTGAATTGTGTTTTTGGGACGATGGATGACGCCTCAATTGTGCAATTGGTCGAGGGCATTGGAGAAGTTGGCGTTTGATCTACAACTCATAGCCAGGTTTTCATAGGAAGA